CAGTAAATGTATGATAATAGCACAAAGACTGGGAGGGAAGGAATAGTACGTTTTATACTATATGTAGAAGGGCATAATGTCATTTGGAGCTAGACAAATAAGTGAAAAATACTATAAATCCCAAAGCAACAACTAGAATAACAGAATTATAGCTAATTAGCTAACAAATTAGATTAAAATATTCCATTCAAAAGAAAGCAGAAAAGGAGGAAAATGAGAATAAAGAACAAATGAGACAAATAGAAAACAAATATCATGATGGTACAATCTAACCATATCAATAATCACATTAGATGAAAATGGTCTAATCATCCTAATTAAAAGGCAGAGATTATTGAGTTGTAAAAAAAACAATACTTGACTATATGCTGCCTAGAAGGAACACAGTTCAAATACAAAGAGAAAAAATAAGTTAAAAGTAAATGGGTGGAAAAGATATACTATGCCAACATTAATTAAAAAAAAAAAGGCTAGAGTTCCTATTTTAATATTAGGCAATATAGATTCCATAGTAAAGACATTACCAAGGATTAAAAAGGTCATTTAAAAATGATAAAGGGGTCATTTTACCAAAAAGACATCATAGTACTAAATGTTCATGCAGCTAATAACAGAATTCCAAAATACATAAAGCAAAAACTGATAGATTTGCAAAAAGAAACAGAGAAATCCACAATTATATTTGGAGATTTCAATACCCATCTTTCAATAATAATACAAGTAGAGAGAAATATGTAAGGCTAGAGAAGATATGAAAAACACTATTAACCAAATTGACCTAATTGACATTTACAAGGCATTACACCAAAGACCAGCAAAATTTACAATCTTTTTAAGCAGACATGAAATATTTACCTAGATAGATTCTGGGCTATAAAATAAATGTCAATAAATTCCTTAAGATTCAAGTCAAATAAAGTATCTTCTCTGAGCTCAATGAAAAAAATTAGAAATCAGTAACAGAAAGGTATCTGGAAAATTGTAAAATATTGGGAAACTAAATAACACACTTCTACATAACCCATGGATCAAAGAAAAAATAAAGGAAAATTATAAAGCACTTATAAATGAATGAAAATAAAAACACACAACATACAGAATTTGAGGTAGGCTGCTAAAACAGAACTTGGAGGGAAACTTACAGCACTAAACACCTATACTAGAAAAGGTCATATTAATGACCTCAGCTTCCTCCTTGAGAATCTAGAAAAAGAAGAGCCAATTAAATCCAAAGTAACAGAAGAAAATAAACAATAAAAAAACAATGATACGGAAAAAACAGAAAAAAAATCTATGAGATCAAAAACGGATTATTTGAAAAGATCAATCTTAAATCTCTCCTCGGACTGATCAGTAAAAGGAATGAGAAGAAACAATTTTCCAATATCAGGAATGAGAGAAAAGGCATCACTACAGATTCTATAAATATTAAAAGGATAACATGGTAATATTGTGACCAATTTATTCCAATAACTTAAGTAAATTAGATTAGTGAGAAAATTCCTTGAAAGACAAACTAAAGTTCACTCAAGAAGAAATGGATAACCTCAATAGCCCTATATCTATTGGAAAAAATTGTATACACACAAGAAAACTCCACACCCAGATGGCTTCTTTGGAGAATTCTAGCAAACAATAAAGGAAGAAATAATATCAATAAGATACAAACATCCAGAAAATTGAAAAAGAGAATATGTCCTAAAGACATTATAAGAAAACTACAGATCAGTATCCCTCATGAATATAAATGCAAAAAATCTTAACAAATATGTAGCAAATTGATTCCAACAATATATAAAAATGATAATACACCATGACCAAATGGCGTTAACCCCAGGAATGTAAGGTTGCTTTAACGTTTGAAAATCAATTAATGAAATTCATCATATTACAAGCAAAACTCAATAGATGGAGAAAATTTTTTGACAAAATCCAACATTTATTCCTGATAAAAACTTCCAACGAACCAGGAACAGAAAGGAATTTCCTCAGCTTAATAGAGGGGATCTATGAAAAACCTACAACTAACATCATTCTGAATGCTTTTCCCCTAACATCTGGAACAAGGCAAGGATGTCTCCTTTCAACATTTCTACTGAACATTTTACTGGAGGTATTAGCCAGTTTCATATGACGAAAAAAAGAGATAATAGGTATATTGACCATCATGGCAAAAATAAAACTGTATTTTCAGAAGACAAGATCAGCTACATAGAGAATAGATAGACTCTTCATTATAACTGAGTTTAGCAAGGTAGTAGGATACAAGATCAATGGATTGTATTTCAGTATATTAATAAACAATTGACAATTGAAATTAAAAATACCATTTACAGGGGCCGGCTGGTGGCGCAAGTGGTTAAGTGCGCGCGCTCCGCTGCTGGTGGCCGGGGGTTTGCCGGTTTGGATGCTGGGCCGCACCGACGCACCGCTTGTCAGGCCATGCTGTGGCGGCGTCCCATATGAAGTGGAGGAAGATGGGCACGGATGTTAGCCCAGGGCCAGTCTTCCTCAGCAAAAAGAGTATTGGCAGCAGATGTTAGTTCAGGGCTAACTGTGAAATTGAAAACTGTAAAACTTCTAGAAGAAAACAGAAAGATCTGTATGCCCTTAGGCTAGGCAGATTTCTTGGATACAACACCAAATGCATGATCCATACAAGACAAAAAATTGATAATTTGGACTTCATCAAAAATAAAAACTGTTCTGAAGACAATGCTAAGAAAATGAAAGACAGAATACACTCGATAAAGCACTTGTATCCAGAATATATACTCTAAAATATAAATAAGAAAACAATTTAAAAAATCTAATTATTTGACTAGACAATTCACCAAAGAAAATGTATAGATGGTAAATATCATGAAGATGCTAAATATCATTATTAGGGAGATGTAAATTAAAACTATAATGATATCACTATACACTTATTAGAATGGCTAAAATTAAAAAGACTGACTACACCAAGTGTTGGTAAGAATGTGAAGTAAATGGAATGCCCATATATTGCTGGTGAGAATGTAAAATGGTATAGCTACTTTGGAAAACATTTCAGTATTTTCTTCAAAAGTTAAACACATACTTCCCATATAATCCAACCATTCCACTACTAGATATTTACCCCAGGGAAATGAAAGCATACCACTTACAAAGACTTGCATACTAATGTTTTCAGTACCTTTATTTCTAAAAACTAGGAAAAAAAGCCAAACGTTCATCAACAAGTGAATGTATAAACAAACTTGTATATCTAAAAGGATACTGCTTAGTAAGAAAAAGGAATGAACTACTGTTGCACACAAAATGGAAGAATCTCAAAATAATGTTCAGTGCAAGTAGTCAGGCAGACTACATACTTTATGATTCCCTTTATATAAAATTCTAGAACAGGGCCGGCCCCGTGGCTTAGCGGTTAAGTGCGCGTGCTCTGCTACTGGCAGCCTGGGTTCGGATCCCGGGCGCACACCGACGCACTGCTTCTCCGGCCATGCTGAGGCCGCGTCCCACATACAGCAACTAGAAGGACGTGCAGCTATAACACACAACTATCTACTGGGGCTTTGGGGGAAAAATAAATTAAAAAAAAAAAAAATTAAAATTCTAGTACAAGCAAATTTATCCAGTGACAGAAAGATCAGGGATTACCTGGGAACTAATGGAAGGGATTACAAATGGGCATGAAAAAATTGGGAGATGATGGTTATATTTATTACCTTAATGGAGTGATGGCTTCATGCGTGTATACATGTCAAAACATCAAATTATGCACATTAAATGTTGTCTATTTTACTTCAAAAAAGCTGCTTAAAAAAGTCTGTTCATTTCATTGGAAGTTTTACTCCATTACACAAAAGACACACCCACAAATCCATTTGAGATAAATCCTCTATTTTAGGTGTCTGAGAGCTTAAAAGCCCTTAAGCTTCTTTGAAGGCCTAGTGAGAGGATCTGTAATGCCCACCCTTAAACCTTTAGAAGTCCTTTAGTCTGAACTCAAACTCTTATAGTTTCTCCATATTCATAATTGAAAAACATATTCAACTTTAGAATTAGAATTAAAAAAAATGTCCTTGTCCTGAGCTGTTAGTAGCACAAATGCTCCAATTAGTCAAAGGTAATTTTATTCTTATTTTTAATCTTTCTAGTATGATTTTTACCTTTTTGTGGCTGTTTAGTCAATACAGTTTAACTCCTGTACTGATGGATGACTTAACACTTCGATATTTTTCAAAGTGTGTTTTACCGTCTTCTTGTAGCGAGTCATCTTGAGATGCTTATTTCAAGACACAACTCCACAACTGCTAAGAGATTGGGAGTGAGGAAAAAACTGGGATCAGAGTGGAGCCTGGGAATCTCACAAGCTCCCCAGATGAGTAGACACACTGATAAACTCAATGCCTTCACACATACAAATGCAATCCTAATTTAGCTGTTTCTAGGATTAAGATATTTCTCAAAATGAAAGATTCACATTATTTATTAAGCTTGTAACAATTTTATTCATAACAGGAACATTTACCTTTACATGTATATACAAAAAAGACTTTTATTTTCTTACTTTGACACAAAAAATACAGACATACTTACATATGTACAAAAATATTAAAACACACAGACTTTACAAATAAAGATAAGATTTCACAAAGGATACTTTTTTGGAAACACACATACTGAAAAAGAGGTTTAAGAAAGGTGACAAAACATTTAAATTAACAGACTCCAGAAGGTGGTATTTCAGTTGGTATGAATTTGGTAAGGCAAATAAAATGTCTCAAATGCTAACAGATGGTAAACAAGATTTATAGTTAAGATTGTCTAGGTAAAATTACATGGCCTTTCTTTACCATAAAACTGAATCAATTTTATTTTACCTCTGAATCACAAATATCAGATAATTAACCAGTTTTCCTTTTTCCTTAAAATATTTAAATTTTGTGATTTATACTGAGAAATTTTAAACTTTTTCACATGAAATTGTAAAATATTTTAAGAGGTCATGTATCCTCATTATTCACTGGGGGGAAAAATCCCATGTACTATATTGATTACAACATAAAATTAAAAATCACAATACATTTATTTTTATTTATTTTTTAAATTAAAACCTAACACCTTCTAACTAACCTTCATGATCAGATACAATTGATTTAATAAGAGATCACAATCGTCGTAAATTCTTCTTGCTTTTCTTAGTACCAGGCAGAGGACCCATTTTATAACCGGTTTTTGGGGGTTTGCCATTTGAACAGTCTTTGGTGGTATGATAATTACACAGACACCTTGTACAATAATCAAATCCACAGCCTTCTCGTTTGCAGGTTGCCCGTTCTAAATAGCAATCATATTTTGCAGGTGAATTACAGCGAACACAGGCTTTGAGGCTTTCGTTATTTTTCAAAGTCTTGGCAACCTAGAAAGAAGAAAATCCATAAACAAATTTTAGTAATGACTGAATGTAACTTAGTAAAAACAAGAAAGGTACCTCTGTATCTTCCCCAGTACATGTATAAAGCATCAGTGTCATACATAAGGCAACTCCTACCCTTCAAAGGATGAGAAATAACATCACTTGATAACTGGTCCAGTGGCTATTTTCTTTCTTTTTTTTTTTGTTAGGAAGATCAGCCCCGAGCTAACATCCACGCCAATACTCCTCTTTTTGTTGAGGAAGACTGGCCCTGAGCTAACATCCATGCCGATCTTCCTCCACTTTATGTGGGACGCCACCACAGCATGGCCTGACAAGCAGTGCGTTGGTGCGCGCCCGAGATCCGAAGCCGGGCCTCCAGCAGCCGAGTGAGGGCACTTAAGTGCTACGCAATGGGGCCAGCCCCACCAGTAGCTATTTTCTCCTGGTACTTCTAAATATGCTCTTTTACTTCATGAATGCTACTCACACATCAATGCCTAACTTAAATGTCACCTTTCCTGTGAAGTCGTACTAGTGTCACTCAGGAGTAGGTTGCCCTTTTACCTCTAGCTCTATCTCTTTAAAAAGCACCTACCACATTTACGGCATATATTTCTCTGGAGCCATCTTCCACTCTAGATTGTAAGGCTCTCAAGGTTACCATGTTTTCTTATCTATGCAGTACCTGATAGATGGCAGATGCTCAATAAATGGCTTTTGAATAAATTTATGTGTTGTACTAGTCATTATGTCACGACCATTTAAGACAGAAAATTTCATTATACATATTTATTGACCAACATGAGACAGTCAACATTTTATTTCAATCTTAGATAAGATTATAGTTTTAAAAATTAAGCTTGCAAAACTTCCCTATGTGAGTAGAACTTGTAATACGCATTACTCAATAATTTGAAGGTATAATAGGAGGCCTTCGATTTCTGAAAGCTGGCCTTTTTCTGCTTAGCTCTTTTCTTCAGATATTAAAGGCAGCAATTGTGAAATGTAGTAACGAACAGTTTTATAAGAAAATTTAAAATCAGGAAGGCTTTTCATTTTTCTTCGTGTTTTAAATTAGATCTCAACATCACTGAACTTTCATAAACAATGCCAAATGGTATCTATTATTTTTGGCATAGAAAGACATTTCTGTGTACTTTTCTATTTTGTTTAGAGTTATAAATGGTTTAACGGCTTCCAACATTTTTGAGTAGGATACAGGGGACAGAAGATAAAATCTCCATTAATAATTCTCTAATAGTTCTAATTATGCTGTAATTAAATTTAAAGTTTTTCTCCATTTCTTACGCTAAATCCTTTTAAACAATAAACGTCCCATACGTTTCTAATTTATCGATAACAAAAATTACCTCAGAGAACTCGTTGTGCCGACTGTATGTAGAATCTTTCTGATCACCTGGATCAGATAACTTGGTTCGAGCACCTTTTTTGGGAGGAGCCTGGGCTGCTGATTTTTGAACAGAAGCTAATGCGGTTCTGATCATAACATATTCTCTGGTTGAAGCTTGCGGTGAAAACTTACTGTTCTTTTCCTAATAAAAAAAGTTTTGACAGGAGTTAAAAATACTTTCCTATATTTTCCACAATCAAGCAATTATTATGATTGTTCATGTAAGAAAGGGCAAAGGAGAATATAAAGGATTTAGCCCTACATCCAATTTACCTGCACATGCTTACACACAGCCACACACAACTATTCATAAACATTTAAAGCCTAATAATTACTGACAGAAATTGTGAGAGAGCACTTTGCATGCTTAGTCTATACAACATTAAATACATGATTTATAAAGTACTACTGCCAGAACAAAAGGTCATTCTTCTCACCACTAGTAGATGGCAATAGCCATGTTTAAGTGTCACTTCGGTGTCACGAATGGATTCAAAAACCTCTTAGATTAGAAAATTTTCCATTAACGCCAGCTTACTGATAAAGAAACTGAACTTGGAGAATTTAAGCAACACCCGTCTAAAGTTAGTAGCTGGTAAGCAGGTAAGCTGGTAAGCAGGAGCACCAAAATTTGGACCTAAGTCTGCCCAACTCTTAGGCCTAAACTTTTAATCATGTATTGATCTTGATTCTCAGAAACATCTCCAGAGATAGCAAGTATTTTGGAAAGTAAATGAATTCCCTCTACATTAAGAATCTTCAATATGTTGATAATTTACTGTTTATCTGGTAACTGAAAAAACACACACAAAAGACAACCAAGATTACCTATATGGTCAACTCACTATCTGAGAACTGAGTAATTTTCCCTTTGTTACTTTTGGACATTCTATTTCTAGGGAGAATCCAAGAAATAAATGACTTTTAATGAAAGGCTGAAATGCTCTGTCAACATAAAGGATTTCCAAATTACCTGTTATCTTTCCTAGTTCTCCCTCCTATTTCTAAAGGGAAAGAACACTAGCAGCTATATTTTAAAATAAAAACATCAAATGCAGAGACTTACAGAAACTCTTTGTATTGCTTTATTATACAACTGCATTGCCCCCTTATCATCTTCTAGAATCTTCTTCCAAGTTGTGCTCACTTTAGACACACTGGAAAAGTAAATGATTATAAAGGAAACAATTAAAGCATCACAAAGAGCTAAGATGAGTATTACAGAAACGTTAGCAATGCAAAAAGAAATTTCTATTAGCAGTGCTTCTCAAACCTGGTTATACATTAGAATTGCTTGGGGGCATTTAAGATTGAAAGATGCCCGATGCCTACTCATTTGAGTTTAATTGGTCTAAAATGGGGGCTGGGGTTCTGTACTTTTTTTAAAAGCTCCCCATCAAGTAATTCTAAGTGCATCTAGGCTTAGAACCACTGCTCTGTACTTCATTTTTTCACAGTATCTGCAAACAATAAGTAGCCACCACCATATATATAGTACCACATTAGTTATTTGGTAAAAGTTGTAGACAAATTTCAACAGACTCCAGGACACACTGTTATTAGTAGACACTAATTTTAAAAATCCATTGTTAATAGAAAAAATAGAACCCATGATGTCGATTATTCCTCATGAGTCTAGCCAACAATAAAAGTCAATACTTACTTCTATCTGTTTTACTTTAGCTATATTTCATAAAGACCAGCGTAAAGTAACACTTGCAAAGAGTACCTCTAAAAACATTTTTTCCAAAAGCCAAAAATGAACCCAGTTGAGATGAATCCAATCTAATCCAATAGTCTGTATAATCTTCTTAACTCTCATAGTTACCTCCTTCTAACAGATTTTCTTTGGTGGAATGAGGAAGAAAGGGTACTTAGTAGTATAAGGTTTCTAAGAAATAGTCAGAAGCAGATCCATTTGTGGGTCTCCATATTTTCATCACTGTCAAACCTAAGAGAGCCCTACGTTGAAAATGGCCTAAGAACAGAAATTGTTTCACACTTTCAGATGTGACAAAAGTTGTAATGCTCATTGGCCCTGCAGACTAGAACTAGGCGGTTGTTTTACAGTTAAGCTGGAAGGATGTTGCTTACATATTAGAAATTTCAGAACTACAAAGAACAAAGATCCCAATCTAAGAGATAAGCAGTTTTCTAATAGCATAAATGTGAAATCTGAAGTAACTGCATTGAAGTAAATGCATACTTTTAAAATTATCTTTCTTTCATCTCAGTGGCACAGAGGTAGTAAAATACCAACAACGAGGCAAAAGTCATTACCTCAATTAAACTATGTAAAAGACGACCCTAATATATGTCTTTGCACAAGCTGGTGATGCTGAGCCATCTAACAAAAATGTTCAGTGGATTATATCAATACACTCAAAGCAGCAATACTTACTTGATTAAGTCCATATCATTGAGCTGTGTTAAAATATTTGCTAAGACGTGTCTGAGATCCCTTCGAAAGAGTTCACTGAGAATATCTACATATTCTAGTCCCATTTTCCTGCCAATTATATTCTGTAGTCTAAAATCACTGGATATAAATTCCTTCAGCTTCTCCCGATCTATTTTAGGATTTCGTTTGGCATTCTTTTTCAATGTTGAACAAACCAGTTTTGCAAAATGAAGAGCTGGCAGAAAGTTTTTGTTGGGATATTGGTCTGGGCTTTGCATCTGTAGCAGGTAAGATTGTGGACTGTCACTGAAATTTTCTTCCAGGGGAAGGCTACCCTCTCCATGTTCATTGAGGCCACCTGGTTGGGAAAATGATGAATAGCCACTGTCTTCATAAGGTCCATTAGTCTCTAGTTCTTCTATTTCATTTGAACTACTAAGTGTTTGTTGTACATGTTGATTTTCCTTGTTATGCAAGGGCTTGCTTTCAGTTTGTTCAAGTTCTACAGTTCTGGGGCTCACAATTGGTGACCCAAGATATGATAACTTTTCATAGTCTTTAATGCAGTCTTTACAAGAACCTTCCAAATATGCAGGAGTGTAGGAAACTACTCTTCCATTGTCATCAGGTTTTACCAGTTTAAGTCCAGAATGAACATCGTTATAGCTAAAATCACACTTCATTCTGCCAGAAAGTGTGGAACTTTCTTCTTTATAACCTATGAAAAGAACATAACATATTTACTTCTTAATAGCAAAATTTTCACACATCCCCACTTCTTAAATTGGGATATACAGATTTAATTACTTTGCATTCTTTCAGCACTATGTCTTGCCTATGTAGCTGTGAGATTATCCAAGTTTAATTATTGAGATGTAACAATAATATGAGGAAATATTACTTAAATCTTATAAGGATATACATCTTATTCTTGAAAGGGTACTTCAGAAGATACTGCTTTTAGGTCTGTATAACATTTGATTTTTACAGTCTACATCTTACTGAGTAAAAAATAGTGGAAAAAGGGACTATTTAATAAATATCTGTGCTTATGGAAGAAATAAATGGGATGCATCTAGAGTATGTCTGAGGTCAAAGATATGTCACAAATGCTTCTAGAATCAAGTGTTCACACCCTGGACTTGAAATGGCATTACGGTTAGCTTTGCCTTAAGAATAACCAAAACCACTGACAGTAAAAATGGTTAAGACCAGTGGGGGAGGGGAATGTGTAAGGGTCAAAATAGTTTTTGATAAAAGAAACAAATAAAAAACTTGCATATCATTTAAACATTAGCAATTATTATAAGCCTTATGATAATTAATCAAGAAATCTATAGGTAGCTTGGAGAAAGGACTGAAAAGGCAATAAATTTATATACTCATAAGTTAAAGTCTACTTGAACTCCCACCACTTTCATCTCTAAGTTTTATTCTGACTGATGCTCTGGGTGACAATCTGATGTATTTAAGGTGTTTGTCTACCCTACAGAACAGTGAACTGAAGGACAGGGACGTCACCCTATATCTCGCCTCGTATGTGCCAGAAGCTCTATCTTTAATTGCTGAACAAAGATTTCTCACAAATAATTAACCAAAGAACCAGAAGAATTATCAGTTCAGCTACCAATCATAAATAAAATTTGGTAAATAAGAATGACACTCTAATCAGTATAAGACCAGATGTAAGAATGTGAGGGTGATAGGGCAGTGGGTGTGAATTACTGTTCAGTTGTTTTAAATAACTAGAGAAGATAATGTACTTGCTACTTATGATAAGCAGCATAAAAAGGGAAAAACAAGTTATGATACTATTAACAAATCATGCAATTATTTCTGGATATTATTCATAGTTACTGATTCAAATTTAAGTTTCAAAAAAGCCCAAGACCTGTTTTTAGAGTTGTATCATCACCTCCACTCCCAGGGCCTAAGAAATCAATTAAGATATAATGGAGCAGGCAGCATTTAAAAATATCTTTAAAGCAGGGTTTCTCAATTCTTGCACTGACATTTTGAACTGGGTAATTCTTTGTTGTTGGGGGCTGTCCTGTGCATTGTAGGATGTTCAGCAGCCTTTACCCATTTGATGCCATTAGCAGCCCCTACTCCCTGGGCAGGACAACAAAAAATGTTTCGAGTCACCAGTTATTGCCAAATGTTTGGGACTGGGGGAAAGGCAGTGGCAGCAAAATCTCTGCCACTCCTCAGATGAGAACCACTGCTTTAAAGGCTCATTAGGACATTGTCAGTCAGTACAGGGTGGGAAGTGCATTCACTGAAGGATAACTGGAGCAAAGGCACAATTCTGGGAAGGAATATAGCAAATGGGTTCAGGAAAACTGCTTAGCATTATTGAAGGCAGAGTATATGAACAGGGGAACAGCGGGGACATGAGGTAAGGAAAACCTCAGCAAGTTTCAAATGCCAGGATAAGTGTGGACTTCACAGGCTTCAAATGTACGCCTCATCTACTACCTACCTATGATTGGCTTGTGCGGTGGGGGGGGTAACAATCTTATAAGTAAATGTATGTAATAGTCAGTAGGTTTAGTTTGTACTAAATATTGGTAATCTGTCCATATTAACCGTACCATTTTTCTTAGAGCAAAACTTTTCAGGTCAAAGTATGAAAAGACACCTTGATAGAAAGTAACCTTGTAGGTAGAGACTCTTTAAATTCCCAATGTCTAACACAGCGGAAGACACATAGTATGTGCTCCAGGACCCCAGTAAACCTTGCACTAACCCTAAAAACTAGGTTTAAACTAAGACTTGAGGGGCATAAAAAGTAAATAAAGAATATACAAACTCTAACCCCCAAATTAACCCTAACTCTAGAGCAAATTATTCTGAGTGGTTCTCTTCCACTCAGAAGAGTAAAAAATTCTGAGAGATTGTTTTTACTTTTGCCTCAAGTAAAGAATTAGCTATGATTTACATATGACCACATTTTATCTGAGAGAATAAAAAAGTAGAAGCCATCTACGACGACAAACCTTTTACTTTGTTTAGCTGCCTAAAAAGAAGCCTGAAACTGTACTTCAGAAACTCTTAATTTTTTTCAAAGGCATTCTCCTTCTGCTCAGTCTTTAGAACCCAGTTACTGGGAGACTATCCTACAGGACCTCTTTCATTCAACACCATTCTTTGAATATGGACAGTTCTTTACTTTATAAATGTTTAGAAGTTTCCAAACACTTGGTCTTTACAAACTTTCGAGGTAGGATGGAGAGGTATTATTACCCTATTTTTATAAATGAGGACACTGAAGCTTAGCTAAGTAGCTTGCCCAAGATTTGACAGGTAGTGAAGCGACAGGTCACTCTTCTTGACTGTAAATTCAGTGCTCTTTCCGCTATCTCACCTGGGAAGTGAGATAAAAGTATAAAAAAAGAGTATAGACTCATGGACTTTGGGTATAATCCAATACAACATTATATAAGTTGTTGCTCAAATTGTTTCAGCCTTTGCCATTGTAAAATTGTAAATTTGTGTCCATTTGACATACTTCCATTATTTTGTTTTTGGAGCATTCCTTACTTGCTAGCACGAGATGCTCCAGTCTCTTGTATGTTCCCTGTTCCAGCCATAGAACCAGTCTTTGCTCCAGGGAACTCTGCTTCTTTTTATTGATTTCAAAATCTGGAAGCTAGGTGTAGATTTTGGTGTAAAATGTATGTAATGTACTTTTTTATCTCCATAATAATACTGCAAAATAAAATGAGTAAGTACTACCTTTTACACAAAAAGAAGCTGAAGCAGACTGTACAAGGCTAATTCCATGTTTTTTAACCAGTTCATAGTTCAGTGCTTTCCAATAACCAAGCCAAAATGTACCTAAACAATTTGGAAAATGTTTTTATATAATTGATCTGATATTACCCAGAGAGGGAGAAAATATTACATGCTTGCATGACCTCTTGAATCAGATAGATGAGAATTAAGAGTCTAATTCTGGCACTTCATTCATTTAATGCCTGCTTAGTGACGAGGTGTGGAGAAGGGAAGAAATTAGTCAGGGATGATCTTTTGGAGGTGACATTCTGAGATCTGAAAGCCTTCTGAAAATCTGGTGGGAGAGTTCCAGACAGAGGGAAGCACAGGAAGCAAGGACAAGTGCTGAATATTCAAGGAAGAGAAAGGCCTTTAGTGCTGCAACTTAGTGAGCCAGGGGGAGAATGGTGAAAAATAGGTTGGAGAGGTAGAATAGTCCACAGGATTTTTAGGGTAAGCTGGATTTTATTCACTGTGCAATATAGAGCCTTCAAGGGGTTCTAAGTAGAGAGACATTTGTTTTACATTTTAAAAAGATCACTGGCAGCTGTGGAGAATGGATTGTAGGACGGTACAAGTGGAAGGAGGGAGGCTAGTCAGAAGTGTATACTACAGGAGTCCAGAGAGTTGGGTACCTAGGACTAGGATGACTGCAGTGAAAACGAAGATAATTGGCTAGATCTGAGATTTATTTAGGAGGATAAAGTCAACAGAGCTTGCTGATGCATTGGATGTGGATTAAGCAGAGTAAAAAATACCCTGGTGCTTGAGTCTTGGGTATCTAAGGTATAAAGTGTCATTTGCTGAGTTGGGGAAAACGGAGGAAGTTAACTTCTAAAGTCTGTTTCCTCATTTATAAAATGGGAGTAAGAAAATAAAACTGGACTAAATGCATGGCAGAGTCCTTGTCACATACAGTCTAATCAACAGAATCTATTTTCATCACATTGTGTGTAAGCCAAATCCCTTCATATTCCTTACATTGAACATCATGAACATTTAAAAAGCAGCAGAAAACATACTTCCACACAGAAGTATGCATTTCCCCATATTACATACTTTTCCTAGGAATTAGATCCAAGTTCAAATGAAAATCCCTGCTCAACCTTTTGACTAGCTTTGTGACCTAGAACATTCAATTAATCTCTTTCATTTTCTCTAAAATGGAGATACTAATTTCTACCTCCTAAAGTTGGCAAGGATTCAACACACTGCTTTTTTTAAACCTCTCGCTTACCAACTCTCAGTCCACTCATGAAAAGGTGATATTACAGTTAAGTGTACAAAGTTTAACCTCTCATCTAGCTTTCCAATATAAATCTGACAATTCATAGTAAAATAGCATAGTTAAGTAGACTACAGTGCTTAAAAAACCTTTACAGCTCTTCCAGTGCTCTATAATTAAGCTCTGTAAGCTCCAATACCCATAAGGTAACCACCATGTGCCCAACATCACATTCCTTTACTTAAGAATATGAGAGCCCCAGGGCACGCTGCCATAAACTGCAAACCAGCCATAATCCCTAAGAGAAAAGTTTAGAAGAGCCCACTTACAAAAATATTTGGATAGAATTATATTTTTTATTTCATTTCCTCAAATTCCCTAACCAGGGAAAAAAATTCAAGGGGACGGCAAATATATTCTCTTGAGGAGCAAGGTAGTAAAGACAACTGGAATTAATCAGAAAACCCCTTCCTAAAGCCATCAAGCTGCAGAATTTCACAGGGAGACTTAGGATCCAGGATCTTCTAGAAACAGACTTAACCTGTTAAAAGGAAGTCTTTTCTCCCTCCTGAGTCTTCTAACTTCCTTTTCTAAAGAAAAAGGCATTTTTCAGTGATTACCAAACATTATACTATCGAATTGATAATTTAAAAAACTTCTGGTCATTTCTGAGGTACAATCCATGCTTTTGGATCTCTTGTGGAGATGGCAACAAAGGGGATAAAAATAAGCGTTTATTTGAGTGCCTTCCATTCTGCCCAAGTTTTGGCATAAAAGACGCTCTAGTTCTCCGGGAGCACAGGGAAAAAGAGAAGGAATTTTTCCATTCTCACAAAATCAGCGAAACGTAGACAAATTCACGGTTTTGTATCAAAAAGTACTTGTCTCCCCTCTCTCTCCTGGCGACGCCAGGCCTTGAGGCTGAGTGAGCGACTGGGCAAAGGGGAAAAAGGGGAGACGGAACGTTTTTGTTGGGAGGTCCCAGCAGAGCCGGGTCGGATGAGGGGGGTCCCTCCATTTGGCGGGAGACCCTGGCGCTGCCGAGGGGTCGAGGGGGTGGCCCTCAGGGCGCGGGCCCGGCGCAGGAGGCGGGAGATAAGGGCGAGCACGATCTCCCGCGCCCGCCAGCAAGACCGAGGCGGCCGGGCCCGGGGAGCTGACTCGGGGCCCAGGTGCGGGGCAGGGCCGGGGAGGGGGCGCGGGGAGCGGGCTAGGGCCGGCCCGCCCCTGGGGCCCCGGCTGCGGGCCCTGTCAGCGCCGGACCCGGGGGAGGGGGAGGGGAGGGGGCATTTGGCGCCCATTCAAACCGGGTGGGGACAGGCAGGGCCTGGGGAGGCCTCACCTGCGCCCCCGGAGCCGGCGTCCAGGGTCGGCGTGGAAGCCGGGCCCCGGGCCCGCCATCCCGCCCCGGCACGTCTGACTCCCCCTCCCCGAACCCCAGCCTTCTCTCTCCCCGTCCCAGGAACCGCCGCCGCCGCCGCCCGCCCGCCCGCGGCCCAGCGTGGGGCCCCGCGCCCGGGCCCGGGCTCGGGCTCGGGCTCGGGCCGCAGGCCCCCCACATCCCTCACCGCGCCCCGCTCCGGGAACCCGCGCCCCCCTCGCGCCCTCTCCCCTCACTCACTGTCCGAGGGCCGAGGGCGCCCGGCGGCTGTCAGGGCGCTGGAGCTGCAGCGGCAGGAGCTGGAGGGGGGCCGTGGGGAGCAGCTGCAGCGGCTCCGGCTCATGCCAGGGGGAGTGGGGTCCTCCTCAGGTGAGGGAGCGGCTACCGCGGCAGAGCAGCCGACCACCCCCTGCACAGAGATCTCTAGCTTCTAAAAGGCGCCAGCTGGTACTTTTAAAATCTTTGAATTTGGTGCTCAAATCCGCAGGGGCCAATGGGGCGCGTCGCTCGCAAGCGCGCTCCAATGGGAAGGCGGAGGGAGGGAGCTCCCTCGCCCACGCCCAATTAGAGGCTGCGGAGGCGGGGCCTAGAAGCGAGGCCCCACCTCCTTCCTTCTGGCCTGCGCGGCGCGTCCGGAAAGATGCTGAGGCCGGGGGCGGGGCCTCGGAGCGCGGGGAGGCCGCGACTCAGCCGCACGTGGAGCCAGCCTACCACGCATGCGCGCCCCCGCCAAGCTTCCATCTGCCGTGCTGGAAACCGGCCTCCGGCAAGTCCTGACTGCATCCTGAAGGCAGCTCCGGCTCCTGTCTGAAGATCTCCGATGGGTACAAAGGGTAGCCGAGTGTCTCCGATCATCTCTCAAGTGGTAGTTCGGTGAGCGGCGACTCTGGTCGTCCGGGAATCCAGATTTTCCGGAAGATGAACCCTCCCCCCAGCTCTACTTAGCCCGCCTCTCTAGGATTTAGGCGCGCTCTTCTCTCCCTCCGAGTGGCGCCCCTCCCCCTGCTGAGTGCTTTTGCGCAGGCGCCCGTAGCGGGTGGTGGTGGCGAGTTGGCGGGTTGGCGCTTGCGCGCTGGGCTCCCCCGCGTGTCTCGGAGGGAGGGGAGAGGAGCCGGCTGCTCCGGCGCGCGTTGCGGGTCCCGCCGCTGACGTGGCGCGAGAGGTGAAGGCGCGTCGCCCTGGTCCCCTTGGGCGGGGGTGAGGGTGGGACAGAGTCACTTCTTTTTTTAAGCGTATTTATTTGTATTTTCAACCGCAGTTCTGCAGCCACCGTTGCTTTGTACGGTCGTTAAGCTTATTAAATTTATGTCTACTCTCTTCTGGGTTTTTTTGTTTCTTTCTTTCAAGGGTCAAGCGCCAGAGAGGGTCGTCCTCCTCCAAAAGAAGTAAATACATTGATAAAAAGTACTGGCGTGGGGGTTCCGGTCCCCACCCGTTGGAGCTGGAGGCCCCGGGCCAAGGGAGTGATTTTCTAGCGGTGGCAGGAATGGGTGGACGTGTCGAGTCTTCGATGGCAGATCGTGCCATATTGTTAGTCGTGCTGAACTTTTCACTCCTTGTGCACTTAAGTGGTGCACTTAAGAAGGAAGTCCAGAGCCCACTGAGCAAGGAAGACATAGGAGATGCGGTCGGAGAGCTGGAAGCCGGATCCTGTAGGACTTTGTAGGTTTACGAGTGGAGTTGAGAGTTTCTTCTGACTGCAGTGGGTAGCTGTTGGAGGCATTTTAGCAAGGGAGTGATGTGTTGAGTGACTGTTAAAACTACAGTAGCTTTTTATCTGCTAGGCACTTTGTTAATCTTTAATTCTCACAATAACCTTAGCATTATTTTCATTTTATGATTGTGCTTAAATGTGAAAGTTAATTCCCGCAGAGCCACACAGCTAGTAAGCAAAGATTCCATCCCGAGCCTGTGGGGTAAGTGCAGGTACTTTCCTCTGTGCTATGCTAAGGAATAGTAGTATTTGCTGGAGGCCTGATTGTTTATAGTACATTTTCACATCATTTCCCCCTTTGACCTTAGAGATCATCTTTATTCATCTTTTATTTTCAGATGCAGACAAATATATGAAATTTGAGGGGAGGTGAGGTCCTTATTAAATTAGTTGAGCACCTGAACTATAACCTTTGGATATTAACCACAGCTTAAAAGGTATTCTCCAACAGTTATTTATTTACTTACTTATTTTCAGGAAAAGGCTAAGGTATATTATTGGAAAAGTAAAACTTACTTTTATTATTATTATTACTCATAATATAACAGAAAGAGCTGAACATGTTTTATTTAACACTGGAGTAGTTGGTCAGAGTCTTTTTCAGTTTATTAGGTTAGTTACTATTAATTTTAAATGTTTGAGCTTTGGTGGATTATGGTGAAATATTCTTAACTGACAATTAACTTGTTCAGTAGGTTCATGAGCACCTGTTAATTTCATCTTTAGTGAGAAACTTAGAAAATGTCATTCTGAATTTTACTAAATGTCAACAGATGTATATACTTCCTTCTTCCTGCAAATCAGTATCAGTCGGAATTGTTGAGTTTTTAGGTGCAAAATGAAGTGCAGAGAGAATTGCCCTCATTCTTTCAGCAAATTCTTATTGCAGACCTGTAACATGCAAGACATCGTAAAGTATCTGGAAATAATTGGGACATGGTATCTGCTCTGTGCTTACCATCTGGGTGGGCGTGCCACCTAATAGATATGGCAGATCTCAGTAAGTAATCTTTGGATAAAAGCATCATGGGGTGCAGAGGGAAGGAGATAAGTATAAAATATAGCTATAATGAAGACTAGATGACGCAAATGCACCTAGTTACAGTGGGAACTTTTATAGAACAGAGGAGCTACTTCTGTATGCCAGGATAAGGCAATAATCTGTAGGACAGAGTTTCTCAACTTCAGCACTATTGACATTTTGGGTCAGATAATTCTTTGTTATAAGGGCTGCCCTGCGCATTGTAGGGTGTTTAGCAGCATCCTTACCTCCAACTTCCCCGCTCGCAGTTGTGATAACTGTCTCCAAATATTGCCAAATATCCCCTGGGGGGAAAAATTGCCTCTGGATGAGAACCACTGCAGTAGGGGATGTCTTTTGAGGGAAGGGAGAAGAGGGAGGCCTTCCACAGCATAAGGAACAAAATGGGGAAAAAATGCAAGTGCATTTATCAGGAAAAATTTTATGTGACATAAGGGGGGGTGGTGTGTAAAATGGGCTAACATGAAATGATGCTGGATACGGATGTGGATGTATTGTATGCCCACTTACGAGTTGGAGTTTTATTTAGGAAGCAACAGGAAGCTATTAAGTTGTTGAGCAGAGGAGTGACAAAATCAGTCTTTCTTCTTAGGAAGATGAATCTGGAACCTGAATTAGCAGATAGAGGATGCAGGAAGAAGTCAGGGGACTATTCAAGTCATCCAGGAGAGGAGTAATTCTGGACAAGAGTAGTGATAATAGGGTTGGAGAGGATTAGTGTTTAGTAGGAGAGTAGGATTTAGCAATAAACTGCACGTGAGGAGGAAGAATCAAAGATGACTACATTTTAAATTTGAGAGAGGGAGAATGGTACTACCGTTAAAGAAATTGAGATTGCACAATGACAAACGGGTTTCAGGGGAACATGACAAGTTTTATTTTACACGTAGTGATTATGTTTATACATCTTCAAAATTGCCGTTCTAGCTATATGAGTGTTGATTAAGTGGTGTTGTAGGCCATTTTGAAATTGAGTTCAGTTTTGGTTTTTTCTGAACAAGACACCAGATTTCTAGACAAATACTTCAGCTGTAACTGCCTTTTACACATCTATTTAGTGCCAGTTATAGCATGATGTTAGGTCTCGAAGAGACAAGAATGAAGGAACACAGTTTTGTCCATTAATGAGATATGACAGGTCTAGTGATATGTTTTTATTCCATTACCCCCTTTACCATTTCCTTATTAAGCACTCAATCCTGAGAGGAGGAAGCCAGTGGGTTTATATTTTCAGGTATGGTAAAGTACAATGGAATACCCAAGAAGAGCAGTTAATTCTGCCTAGGGGCTAAGGTGACCTTTAGGTTGGACCTTGAAATCTGTGTGCAGAGGTAAATGGAGTGTGTTTTCTAGGCAGAGAGGGCAGCATAAGCAAAGGCAGGTAGGAGTGACAATGCATGATTTGTAAATAGCTGTGTAGATGCATTGTTTGTGTAAACAGCTACAAAATTCCAAGGCCCTTAAAATTTCAAACTTAGGGTTCCAGTAGGCTTCATGCCAAAATTATGTTGCTCTACCCTTACCCTCTCCTGAGTTCCAAAAATTTCATTTGATCATCTAGGAATCACTAATTTAGTGAGTGAAGTAGGAGCGAGTGTCAGTTCACAGACCAGAATTTGTCAGTTACCCTGTATGTGTTTACAATACACCTGATACATATCTTAAATTTATATTTTTAAAATTACCTAGGTATTATGATGATGATTTTCTAACTATGATGTTCTAATGGACAGAAGTTTGAAAATTGATCCAAAGTTCTTTTCCACCCTCATTAGTACAGCATGCACACCTCCTTTTCCCATGGGGCAGAGTGAGGGAGTGGAGAGGATGGGGGAGAATAAGTAAACTTGTAGCTCTCCCTTGTGTACAGAACGGAATCCAATATTCAAGACCCTTCACAATCTCAATCCAACTTTTCTAATTATTACCCTTTACAAGAGATAAAGAGAAGTAATATTACACTGTAATATTTAACAACCTGTAAATATGTCCCTTTCATTCAAAAAGGAACTGAAAGACCCAAGAGGAAAGTGATCCAAGTGTGGGAGACACAGGCTTGCATTGGGCCTTATGCAGATCATGGTGGAATGAACATGTCTTGCTGTATTCTTGAATTGCATAGGTCACTGAAAGCTGCATTCATCCACTGTTCTTATGAAGGCAGAATGCCTTTCATGAGCAGAATATTATAGGGGAGAGGGATTCTCTTCAAACTAAAATTCTCTGATGTATTTGATAACCTTTGGCCAGCTTTAAATTCTAACCCGTCTAATGTTTTTTCTACGCCTCCCTTTTAAAGCAATAAGGTGAGAAAATGAATTATCAATCTAAAATTACTCTGCAAATTAGTGTAAGATGGGACTCTAAAGCAAATTTGGCTAATAAAGGTTGACTTAAGAAAGAGGAAACACATCTGACAATACTATAGTTTTGAATTTATGCAGTACATATGCTCATAAGAATTTAGATATGGAAAAGGTGTGACAGTTTTGAGAGTTAACTAAATGTCTCCTAATTCTTTAAAATTTTAATCATATAACGTTAATAGTGAAAGCATTGTGTCTCTGGAAATCCTACCTTATTGTAACTACTACAAATTCACCTTTATTTTCTACTAGGTAGAGCTTTTCTCTAATTGTAGTCCTTAGTTTACCTCATGTTTTCAGAAAATTCTTGAGCCAACATTTCTAGCTTCTCTCACTTCTTTATCAGATAACTGACATGTCTTATGGTTCTTTCTTTTCTATTTTTTTGCAGTTAAACAGGTTGAATTTATTACTGCTCCTTGCTGTGAGGGAGCACACACACCATGAGAGAACCATGGTCTCC